GGGCGGGGGGAGGAGTAGGAGGGGGGGGAGGAGGAGGAGGAGGAGGAGGAGGAGGAGGAGGAGGAGGAGGAGGAGGAGGAGGAGGAGGAGGAGGAGGAAGGAGGAGGAGGAGGAGGAAGTGTAGGAATAGAATGAGGATGATCACGTCCCATTCCCTCGAGGTGGTGGGCCGCCTCGAGGCGATGATGGGCCCGGCGGATCCGGACGCCGCCCTGAAGCACGACCCAAGCGCTATCTCCCCAAGGACGGGCTTCCTGACGTCCTTTCTGTCTGGGCCCTGGCAGACGAGCCTTTGTTCGGCCGCGCGCGTAAGGGTAGTAAGGGGTGTGTTGCGAGGGGACGGCTTTCTAGGAAGGCGTGGGGGATGCTTAGAGAGCAGGGGCCTCCTTGGACGGGGGGCCCGATGCCTTCCAAGAAGCTTCCCCACCTTCTTTTCGGATTGACCCAAAAGGGAGTCCAGCGACGCGACAAGGCGGTGGTACAATAGATGTGGTGCAATAGATTTGTGGGGTGGCAGTACATCTGGGGCGTGCAGTACATTTCGGGGCGCACAGGTATTGCTGAAGTTTCGCGTGCAATACGTGACTTGCAATGCAGTGCAATACGATTCTCCGGCGCAGTACATTTGCAATACAATTGCCCCAAATCTATTGCACCACCCCCTTCCAGCTGGACCCCCTCTTGGGTCACCCAAGTCTTTGAAAGCCTCTCCCTCACCCCACCCCCTGCGCGCGTCGCCGGTGCATGGCATGCTGCCGTGATATGTCCTCTGGCTCCTTCTCACGGTGCCACTGCCGAGCGAGAAAGCATCGCGCACACCGATTTCGGCGCGATTTCGGCCCACGTGCGTTGGCTAGAGCTTGCGCCCAACGCCCTGTATCATCGCTTTGATCTTGTCGGACTCGGAGGCCGGCAACGCAATCCGCCAGTCTACACTGCCGTGCTCTCTCTCTCTCGTGCATGTCATGCTCGCAGCCTGCCCTCGCTCCGTGCAGTGCTGGTGCAGAGAGCTTCCGCGGCCATCGCCAGTAGAGGCGTGCTTCTGTGTCACCGGTGATGCCATATCGGCGGCTGGATGTCCTTGGACTTGCCCTCTCGACTATTCTCGCGGACGCACGCTTATTCTGTTGCATCTTCGGGGGACCTCGCCTGTCCCAAAAATGGGTGTCTTTTGGGGGGCCCGACGCGTGCTCGATGCGGACTCGACGCGGATTTGGCGTGGCTTCGACGCGGATTCGACACGGATTCGACAGGGATCCGACGGGTCCGACATGGATTCGACACGGACTCGACGCGGACAGGACCGCGACGGGACAGACAAGGTCCCCCGAGGATGCAACATAACGCTTAGCTGCCTCAGCTCCGTCCCGACGCATAATCATGGACACGACGAGTTATCGAGGACCAGGGAAGAGGAAGGAGAATTCATGGCCACACGTGGCCGCCCGCTGCACGCCCCGGGCTGGCCTTCTCAGGCGGCTGGCCCTGCGCCAGAGGAAGCTTCGCGCAGGGACCCCGCCGCGAGCGGTTGCCCATCAGAGCAGGGCCTCGTCGGGCCCTCTGTGCAGGTTGAGCTTCCTGCCCATGTCCCTTCTCGGAGGAGTGAACAGGGAGAAGGGAGGAGGCAGGGGCGAGAAATCACCATGATGCGCCAAGCAACCGGCGGGCTCCGGAAGCGTGCCAGAGCGCGAAAGGCCTTGGTGTTTCTCTCGGTCGTGTGGCTGTCAGGGTGGTCCGTGGAGCTGGTCGACCGGCCACGTCTGCACCTCCGCTACGGGAATCTGGCAGTCGTGAATCCTCCCCGTCGCACTCCGCGCATGCTGTTGCAGGATCAGGCTTGTCTGTGCCCACAATGCCATCTGCTCTTTTCTATCCAGCCCATTTTTTCCCAACCATCCTGTGGTGTTGGGTCCTCGTTTTGAAGAGACAGCGCCCCGCGTCCACTCCTCCCGCTGCCCCCTTCCTCCTCTTCATCCCTGCGTTTCACCCACCGCTTCGTGGCCCCATAGGGAGCTCCACCGAAGGCCCCACTGGCAGGGTTCGCATGGCGGCCTCGGGCCATTTCGGCACACCCCTCACGAAGATCGTGGCCCCATAGGGAGCTCCACCGAAGGCTCCAGTGGCAGGGTTCGCATGGCGGCCTCGGGCCATTTCGGCACACCCCTCACGAGGATCGTGGCCCCATAGGGAGCTCCACCGAAGGCTGCAGTGGCAGGGTTCGCATGGCGGCCTCGGGCCATTTCGGCACACCCCTCACGAGGATCGTGGCCCCATAGGGAGCCCCGCCGAAGGCGCCAGTGGCAGGGTTCGCATGGCGGCCTCGGGCCATTTCGGCACACCCCTCACGAGGATCGTGGCCACATAGGGAGCTCCACCGAAGGCCCCCAATGGCAGGGTTCGCATGGCGGCCTCGGGCCATTTCGGCACACCCCTCACGAGGATCGTGGCCCCATAGGGAGCTCCACCGAAGGCGCCAGTGGCAGGGTTCGCATGGCGGCCTCGGGCCATTTCGGCACACCCCTCACACGAGGCTCCATCGTGGCCCCATAGGGAGCTCCAGCTGAAGGCGCCAGTGGCAGGGTTCGCATGGCGGCCTCGGGCCATTTCGGCACACCCCTCACGAGGATCGTGGCCCCATAGGGAGCTCCACCGAAGGCCCAGTGGCAGGGTTCGCATGGCGGCCTCGGGCCATTTCGGCACACCCCTCACGAGGATCGTGGCCCCATAGGGAGCCCCACCGAAGGCGCCAGTGGCAGGGTTCGCATGGCGGCCTCGGGCCATTTCGGCACACCCCTCACGAGGATCGTGGCCCCATAGGGAGCTCCACCGAAGGCCCCAGAGGCAGGGTTCGCATGGCGGCCTCGGGCCATTTCGGCACACCCCTCACGAGGATCGTGGCCCCATAGGGAGCTCCACTGAAGGCGCCAGTGGCAGGGTTCGCATGGCGGCCTCGGGCCATTTCGGCACACCCCTCTCGAGGATTGTGGCCCCATAGGGAGCTCCACCGAAGGCCCCCAGTGGCAGGGTTCGCATGGCGGCCTCGGGCCATTTCGGCACACCCCTCACGAGGATCGTGGCCCCATAGGGAGCTCCACCGAAGGCGCCAGTGGCAGGGTTCGCATGGCGGCCTCGGGCCATTTCGGCACACCCCTCACGAGGATCGTGGCCCCATAGGGAGCTCCACCGAAGGCGCCAGTGGCAGGGTTCGCATGGCGGCCTCGGGCCATTTCGGCACACCCCTCACGAGGATCGTGGCCCCATAGGGAGCTCCACCGAAGGCCCCAGTGGCAGGGTTCGCATGGCGGCCTCGGGCCATTTCGGCTCACGAGGACCGTGGCCCCACTGGAGCTCCACCGAAGGCGCCAGTGGCAGGGTTCGCATGGCGGCCCCGGGCCATAGCGGCACATCCCTCACGAGGATCGTGGCCCCATAGTTGCGCTGCTTCAACAACCGCGCATGGGCGTCGTACTCCGCCTTGTCGACGTGCAACGCCACCTCCTCCCTCATGGCTCTCAAGGCCTTCTCCTGCTTCTGCTCCTCGGTGAGAGGGACGCCGTCCTTGTCGTCGTCGGCGCCCGCGAAGACGGCCACGAACGTGTCCCTGAGCATGTCGGGCTCCGGCGGGAAGCCGTGGCCACATAGGGAGCGCAGGCGAAGATGGCATTCACAATTGCGGCATTCACAACTGCATATGGTTGGGTCCTTCGCCAGGATAATTGGAGGCTTGGGAGATTTGGCTGTCTCGATGCTACTCGTGAGCGCCTGGGGTTTGATATCCTCGATTCTCTCATGACCTCACTCTCCACTCGAGCCAGCCGCGTTTTGTTTGCCCAGCCGGTAAGATGCGCACGCGAGGCTGCAGCACGTTTCCTGAGGATCTCGTTGAATACCCAGAGTGAGAGGCCGCCCCTCTAATTCAAGTTGGTTGACGATCTGATCTCCTCTGGTCGTCCTGCCTCATCTTCCTCCGAATACGAATCAATACCTTCTTCACTTCGTACCCGTAGCCATCTCGGCTCAGGTGATCATCCTAGCCGACATGCCGGTCCTCTAAGCTACAGGCCACCCCTGGTCAACGACCAGCAGATTCTCCTCGCGGATTCCACCCTCGTCCGCCTACGTAACCTTTCACCGCACCGGCCGCTCCCGAACCGTGCTCCGCACCGCAGATCGGGGAAACGTAAGACTCGAGTTCACCAGAATTCGGGTTGCCGACGCTTTTTGACGGGCCAGTCCCCAGTTTTCGTGGGATGATTGCAGCGGAAGCTCGCGTTAAATTCTAAACTGGATCAGGCCAGCCCGAGTCCTCCGAACCCGAGTCTGACCGTCTTACCCTGAGGTCCGACGCTGCAAAACACATGCAACATCGCGAAGCATGACGCTCAGAGCCCGGGACCCCATCTCTCCGCGCCACCCCTCGAGCCGCACAGATCGACCGGTGATGAGGGCCCCGGGGGCCCGAGCACAGCTGGGCGAGAGAACGCGCCCATGCGCGCAGAGATCCTGCGGCGCCCGGACCCTGCGGCGGAGACCGCGCTCGGGGCGCGCCGCCCCCCAGCGGCAACCGATATGGCCGGCGGGCCGCCCGCCGGGCTGGCCGGCGGCGGCGCCGCGGCCTCGCGGTACGGCGCCGCGGCGGGCGCCGGCGGCGGCCGCGGGCTCCGCGGGTCGACGGGCACGGCGCCCTCGGCGCCGCTGGGCGGGGCGGCCACGGCGCCGCAGCCCGCGCTGGCGGCCGCGGTGGAGGCCTGGCCCACGGACGGCGGCGCGGGCCTGCCGCTGCTGCCATCGGGGGCGCCGACGGGCGGGGCCTCGGCTCACGATAGGGGGCCACATGCGAACCCTACCCCTGCCCCCCAGGATTTCTGGGGGGGAGGGTGGGGTAGGGTTCGCACGTGGCCCCCTATCATGGGGGTCAGAAGAGGAACAGGTACAAGGATAGCGCTGCCTCGTTTTCGCCTTTGCGGGCCTCCCGGGAGGCCCTCGTCGCCACCGCTGAGTTCGCCTCGAGATGGGGGTCAGAACGCATCCCAGGAGAGGTCCGCAGCGCAGCGCTTTTTTGGTACCTTTGGTTTCCCCACGACAGGGGGGCACTCGGACTCGGCGGCGAGCCCACGACAGGGGGGGACATGGCTCAGGGTGGGGGTGGGGATCTGGGCCTCCCAGATGGGGTCGGAGTAGATGGGGTCGGAGGATCGCGCCGCATGGCCGATGCGTCGGCGATGCGGCTCGACGTGGAGCCCGACTTCCTCCATGCCGACGTCGCCGATGCACCGCCGACCTCGCCGTTGCATCGCCGGCAGGGGGCCTGCCGTTGCTGCCGTCGGGGGCGCCGACGTGGGTAGAGGACTTGGCTTCGACGGCGAGCCCAGGGGGGAATGTAGAGCGGTTCGGCAGCAAATCATGGGAGCCATGATTTGCCGCCGATTTAGCGTCGATGAGCGTCGATTTGGCATCGACTGGCGTCGATTAGCTTCGGTCACAGCATTGGTTCGCTAGAGCCAGTAAGATGGCATGGAATGCTCCCAGAAGTTGCCACCGAAGAGGGGGCGGGCCCTCCCAGAGGGCTCGGAGGGCCTCGAGCCCTCTGAGAAGCCTGCTGAGCCTTCTCCGGAGACAGAGGCGGGTTCTCAGAAGGCCCGAGGGCTTCCGAGAAGCCCCGCTCGGGTGGGTCTTGGCATTGTTCGGACGTGTGCATTTTTATCGGCAAGGGCCATCGAGAAGCATTTTTGTTCACGTTGCGAAAAAATGCACGCCCGAAACCGAGAAATGCACAGGGAATGGACGTCCAAGCGATGGCGAGTGGGTGGCCATGGGGGGTGACCTGAATGGGGGGTGAAGAAAGGGGCCATCTGGTGGAGTTTCGACGGCGCCCTCCGGGGAGACGGCCGTGGTGCTGGAGGTGTCGTCATATGGTCGTGCGCAGCGGGCGGTGGGAAAGAACTTGTTCCTTGGGCTGGCAAGAATTTTGGTGTGATTGAGTCTTCTTTCTTGGCTGAGACGCTGGCTTTTGAATGGTCTCTGGACGTCTTCTTTGCAATCGCGGTGGACGAGTGGCACTGTGAGTGACAGTTGGCAGGCTTGGATGTGCGCATATCGCATCGTTCCCAAACTCTCAAAGAAAAGAAAGGGGCCCTGAAGGGGGCTCTTTTGAGCTCCGTTTGGCCCCCGCTGGCTGGAAGAAGGGGCCTTGAAGGGCCCCTCTGGGGCCCTTCTCTTCACCCCCCAGGTACAGTCGGCCCGGATTAGTAGGTCGACCCTGCCAGATCAAGGGTACCCTCGTGTCCTGTGTCTCGCGACCCATGCCAACTGCATTTCTGTGGCAACGTGGCCCTCGGAAGGGTCTTGTGTCCTCTCGCGTGTCCTGCCCAATCGAGTCCGACTGCAGGTCCCCCCCCCACTACCACCCGCCCGACCCGCCGCCCTGTGAGATGGCTTGCCCCCTCTCACTCCCCCCCGGGCGCGCGCTCCATGCGGATTGTTCAGGAGTCGGATTCGTCGCAATCGCAAGACTCAGGTCGGTGCTCAAGCCGGGCTGAGCTACAGACAAGAATACAGATCAGAGACAGACCAGCAAGCAACGCTGGGGTGCGTGATTGCGAGGGCGGTGGCACAGAAACAACATACATAACATCATAATATCAATTCATCCTTTTTTGTGTCGTAGTGTGAACCTGCTTCTCGTCGCAGGGGGGGTATACGTACAGTGGAGGCGCATGCCAAGAAACACCCTGCTTGGCTCCAGGGTGCCCTGGGTTTCTCGGGTTTCGATGGTTTGCGATGGAAAGCGTGACGTGCCCACACCAAAAGCGAATTGACGTCCTGGGGTCTAAGGGTTGGGTTTCTTATGGAAGGTTTCTTGTGGACTGGCCTCCGCTTTACATGACCAGAGCTCCGACGGTGTGATGCTCTCGTTCCGGGCACGTCTCCTCGATCTGGGCTTTGCAGGGCCCCCTACTGGGCCCCGGGACCACCACAATGTGATCCTGGGGCGAAAATTTGGCCTTGGGGAAGGGTCGAGAAAGAAGCAGCCGCATCGCATACCCTCTCGGAGGTCCGCGCAGCGCCGCCGATCTCGGGCCGTTTTCCCCCCAGATCTCCGACGTCGTGCTCTGGTTCGCAACGAAGACCCCCAGAGGTCTGGACCCCTTCGACTTCCCCGGGGCCCGTTTTGCGTCCCGCGTTTTTTGGCGGTCCGCGGTCCTGGGTTGCGGGTTGCGGGTGGAGGAGGAGGAGGAGGAGGAGGAGGAGGAGGAGGAGGAGGAGGAGGAGGAGGAGGAGGAGGAGGAGGAGGGAAAAGGAGGAGAAGAGGAGGAGGCGAAGGAGAAGGAGGAGGAGGAGGAGGAGAGGAGGAGGAGGAGCAGCAGGAGGAGCAGGGAGGAGCAGGAGCAGAGGAGAGGAACAGGAACATGAGGAGGAGAGAGGAGAGGAGGAGGAGGAGGAGGAGGAGATAGAGGAGGAGGAGGAGGAGGAGGAGAGGAGGAGGAGGAGGAGGAGGAGGAGGAAGGAGGAGGAGGAGGAGGAGAGGAGGAGGAGAGGAGGAGGAGGAGGAGGAGGAGGAGGAGGAGGAGGAGGAGGAGGAGGAGGAGGAGGAGGAGGAGGAGGAGGAGGAGGAGGAGGAGGAGGAGGAGGAGGAGGAGGAGGAGGAGGAGGAGGAGGAGGAGGGAGGAGGAGGAGGAGGAGGAGGAGGAGGAGGAGGAGGAGGAGGAGGAGGAGGAGGAGGAGGAGGGAGGTGGGGCTCCCAGGGCAACGACACATCCCGCCATCGCCTCTCCGCTGCGAGGGCAGGTCCTGGGCTCGGCGGGGCGCCCCGGGGGGGGGGGAAGGCAGAGGAGGCGGGGCCTTCTCGGAAGTCAAGCAGTGGCGAAGCGTCCTGGCTCTTAGTGGGCCCTGGAAACGCCCTCCGCCTCCTCCTCCGTCACGTCTTCATTTACCTCCGACGCCGTATCACACATCCCGTCACCCTCGAGGGCCGAGGTATCCAGGGTCGGCGGGGGCACTGGGTTTAGTGGGCCCTGGAAACGACAGGGCCGTTTTTTTACCGGTTCCGTTCTGCCGTTTTTTTTTGCCGGTTCCGACGCCGCTTTTTTACCGGGGGTTCCGTCGCCGCTTTTTGACCGGGTCCGGCTCCGGTTTCGACGAGCCGAAATCCTTCACATCAGTAATTTTGGGTCTCGGAGCCCACAGGGCGGTTTGTCATGTTTTCCATTCGACGTTCCATGAAGCCCGATGTCATTCCGAGGCCGCGCGTCGAACGTTTTCGATGGCGCGTCGCGTTATGCGATGTCACGTGCGTTGGGGTCGTCAAAGGCTTGCGTGCTTGTTGCGGATCGGTTGATGTGGGCTGGGGTTTCTCAGGATTGTACATTTGCTTTGCGCTGGGGCGGTTTCGACCCCCATCCCTGGCTGATCCACCCCGCGGGTAACGTCGCAGGAAGAGTTCGATCATTTCGTTCGTAGTGCCAGCGATGCTGTCGCGGACATTGACCGCGCCACGGGGGGGGTCGTCCAGAAATTTCCTACCATATTGCAGTGTTGGTTCTTCGTTTTGAAGAGACACCGCCCCGCGTCATTCCTTCCGGCCCCCTCCCTCGTCTTCCCTCTTCGCGTATCTGCCCCTGCTCTCCGCGTGTCTCCGTCGTCATCGTCCATCGTCATCGTCGCCATCACCATCATCATCAGCATCATCAGCATTCTCGCCGTCTCCATCATCAATACCACCACCATCCTCATCAACATCATCAAAACACCCCCTTGTTCCCCCGCGTCTCTGCTTCGCCACATCCCCCGCAAGTCTCGTGGCCTTGTGAGGTGCTCCACCGAAGGCCCCATCGGCAGGGTCCTTAGTGCGCCGCCCAGCCCATGTCGGCACGCCCCTCAGACGCTTCGTGTCCCCATGAGGAGCTCATCGGAGGTCCCGGCGGCAAGGTCCACATGCCGTCGCCCAGGCCACATTGATGACACCCTCAAACATTTCGTGCCCCTATAGGCAGCTCCACCAAAAAAAGGTCCCAGCGGCAGGTTTCCCAGGCCGCCGCCCAGCATATTTCGGCATACGTTTCACACGCTTCGTGGCCCCACGGGGAGCTACACCGACGGCCCCACAGGCAGGGCCCACAGGCCGCCGCCCAGCCCATTCCGTCATACGCTCACAAGCTTCGTGGCCCCATTGGGGAGCACCCCCGATGGCCCAAGCGACAGGGTCCACATGCCGTCGCCCAGCCCATGTCGTCCACGAGTGGCGCCCAGCACGGCTCCAAGAGCGCCCCAAGAGGCGCCGAGCAAGTTGCACCCTCATGCAAATAGTTTTTGTCACTTGTGGGGGTCCTCTTGGGGCCCTCTTGGAGCATTCTTGGGGCCCTCTGGGAGCGTTCTTGGGGCCTTCCCGGGGCCCCAGTGGGCCCTCGGAGGGCCCCAAGAACGTTCCCCGAGGGCCCCAAGAGGGACCCCCCAAAGTGGTACAAAGAATTCGCGCGAACGTGCAATCTGTTGTAGGCCTTTCGGGGCCCTCTGGGAGCTCTCTTGGGGCCCCCATTGGTGGCGCCTTGGGGCCTTGGGATGGCTCCAAGAGGCTTCGGGATTGCCCCAGACCGCCACAAGACAGCTCCGAGACGGCCGTCGAGCACCACGGGTGAAAGCAAGTGAGGCTAGGGAACAGGGCCTCTGGTAAGCCGCCACTGCGCCCCCTGGACTACCCAGACAGCGAGGGGACCTGAAACGCCCTGGGGCTCCAGGGGCCCCAGATTAGTGAAGTGAAGGTTTTTGCCATGCAAGCACCCCGAAATTCTTCACTTCACTAAACCGGACCCAGGACGAACTCGCTACGCTCCAGTCCCGCGGGAGATCCAAGACTCCCGCCGCCGCCCGGGGACGTTGCTGCATTGCGGTGCTCTGGTCACTGTTAATGGCTTCCGCGGGCTGCAGCGGCTCACTTCCATGACTACCCCGACTCACGAATCCAGTGGTTGGTCTGGCTCTATGGGTTGGTTTCGTTGTGTCGGTTGATTTTATGCTTGGTTGGCGGTCGGTGGATTTCGCGTTGTTCATTGGTGTCGTGAAGTGATTTGTCGTTTGGTTGGTCAGTGCCGTTTTGTTGATTCGTGCCGTTTTGTTGGTTGGTGTCGTTTCGTTGGTTGGTGTCGTTTTGTTGCTTGGTGTCGTTTTGTTGCTTGGTGTCCTTTTGTTGGCCGGTGTCGATTTGTTGGTTTGTTGGTTGGTGTCGGTTTGTTGGTTGGTGCCGTTTTGTTGCTTGGCGTCGTCCTGGCGGCGTGGCCGATAATCGGCGGCCTGCAATGGCGCCAGGATTTGTTTCGGGCCAGCCTTGATCGCCCTCATCATTCTCATATTCGTCAGCGTCAGCACTCGTCGCCCCCATCCGCGCACACATGCGGCCCTGGTACGGCTCTTACGCGGCCCTGCGAAGGCCTTCACTGTGCTCCCCAAAGCTTTCTGAGGGGCCCCCCAGAGGCCCCAAGAGGGCACTGGAAATTGTCGCTTCCAACTCCGCCAGGCGGAGGTCAACAAGGGTCTCACTGGTGCACTTCCAGGAATCGTCGTTCGATCCTCTTGGGGCCCTCCTGGGGCCTTCTGGAGCCGTCTTGGAAGCTCCGAGCGGCTCCATGAAGGCGCCGGGCGATATCGCTTCCAATTCCGCCAGGTGGAGTTAGACCAGGGGCTCACTGAGGCCCCTTTTTGCGCCCTCCTCTGCCTTTGAAAAAGCCCCGATGGGGTTCTTCAGTGCCGTCTTAGGGCCCCTAAGAGGCCTCCAGTAGGGTATTGAAGTTATCGCTTCCAACTCCGCCACGCGGAGTTGAACCCAGGGCGGCTCTCTATGGCCCTTTCGGGGCCTTCTTAGAGCTTTTCTGAGGCCCTAAGTGGGCCCTGGGAGGTGTCATTTTCACGGGCGTTGAAAGTGACACCGCGGAGGGCCCTCTTGGGCCCTTCTTGGGGCCTCTCTTGGGTCCCTCTGGGAGCCCTCTTGGTGCCGCCCTGGGGCCTTCTCGGGGCCTTCTTGGAGCCTTTCTGGTGCTCTTTAAGTGGGCCCTGGGAGGTGTCACTTTCACGGGCGCTGAAAGTGACACATCGAAGGGCCCGCTTTCCCTCGTAGCGCTGCCCGTGGCCGGGGCATTGTGCAGCGCATCCCTCGTCGAACGTATTTTGTCGGACGCGTGGTCGAATTCCGCCAGTTCGGTCGAGATGGTGGTCAAGCGGTTCGGTTGCAATGTAGCCATGCGGATCTGAGCTTACCATTTCTTGCCATTTTGGCGGGGATCGCAGGAGCGTTCGTGTTGTGATCAACTGTGCTCGATATATCCAGCGGCAGCGTTTCATCCCCATATTTTTTTTTTTTTTTTTTGAAAAAAGTCAGCAGGGGCTAAATTGCTGATGTGAAGCAACATAGGTCTCGTACGGTTCCAATCCGGGAGCCGTTTTTGTTGCCTTTTCCTGTCGCCGTTTGTTTGCCGTTTCCATTTTCAAGGGACATTTTTGGGGAAGCGGTGAAAAAACGGCCCTGTTGTTTCCGGGGCCCACAACGTCCTGGCTCGCCTACACTCAAGACGCTGAAATAAGGAACAGTTGAACAGTTTGGGTTCGGAAGGGGCTCGATGTTCCTTAGGTTCCTCCAGTGCTGTTCCTCTTGCCCTCCTGGGGCACGCAGGCGCTTACAGGTCCAAGAAGGGGCTTCGTTCCTTATTCAGCGGTCCTCCTTTCGGCAGCCCGACTGTATCGGCCTACCAAACAATTTTCTAAGAACCTTTTGTGGTTTGCACGACATTTTCTTAGAGCAGTTCTGGCTGAGCCTGTCTTGTTTTAGCACGTCGGGTTTCTATGTCCCAAGAACACTGTCTCGGTTCTTGGAGCATTTCTGGGTTCTAAGCACATGTCGTGGTAGGCCTATAGAAATGCCGAGGCGGTCGGCCCCTGCTCAGGGAAGGCTCAGAGGGCCCCTGGTCTCTTGAGCAGCTCTCCAGGCCTTCCCCGGGGCCCTGCCGCCTGCTGAGAGGGCCTGCCCCCTCGCGCTTCCCCACCCGCGGCGCTCCGCCGACGGGTTTAGCCGGTGCCCCCAGCTCGGCGCCCTTCGCCGGAGCTGATCGACCGCATCGGCTTCGGCAGGGCCCAGGTCCGCGCGGCCCTCACGGGAGGGGGCTGCTGCTTCGCGGACGGCGCGGAGCTCCTCCTCATCAGCGCGGTGACGGACGCGGTGGCGAGCAGCTGGGGCATGGGGCCGCTGCGGCGGGGCTCGGTCGTCACCATCGTGTACAGCTCGGAGGGGGGCCGGCCGAGGCGGCGGCGGCCCGCGTCTCCACCGCGGGGTCCGCGCCGGCAGCGGGGTCGGGATGGGCCCCGGGAGAGGTCCAGAGACGAATTTTGAGCGGGTGTTTGTGAGGAGGGGGAAAGACACACACACACACTCACACACAGACAAGAATCATCGTTTCCCTTGAAAATATGGCAACATCTTGGAAGCGGGGGGAAGACAGAAACCCAGAAGATGTAGGAAGATATGGGGAATCCTGTTATTTGTATGTATTTTTCTGTGTGTCCCAGGCCCCCTTTCGGTTGGGTCGGTCCGGAGAGCCGCTGCTGTCTCGGCTGCTTTTCCTCCGCACGTCGGGATCATGGTCGGCAACTTCGCCAGCGGCCCCATAGGAGACGCCCACGGGCGACGGCAGCTGATCTTCTCGTCTTTTCTTGGCATCTTCGTCTTCAGCCTGGCGAGCTCCCTTACTGTCGGATTCTGGAGCCTGAGCGCTGCGCGTTTCTGCGTCGGCGTGGCGTTCGGCATCGGCCACCCGGCATGGAACGCACTGGGCGCAGAGGTCACGCCCGCCGATTACCGGATCATGATGTCGTCCATCTCGCAGGGTTTTTTCATTCTCGGAGAGCTCTTCAGCGCGACTCTGCTGATGGCCGACGATCCGCAGATGAAGGACCTGCACTGGCGGTGGCTGCTGTGCATGGGCGCCATCCCATCGGCGGTGTTCGGGGTCGCTTGCCTATTCTTCATGTACGAGTCCCCCTCGTACCTGGCCGTGTCGGGGCAGAACGAAAGGGCAAAGGAAGTACTGCAGTCGATGGCCCACGACAACGGGCACCCAGCTGACATGCCGGTGGATTTCGTCCTCGTCACAAGGAGAAGCCAGCTGAAGCGCCTGGCCAAGAAACTGCGGGCTGCTCGCCGTCTCACCGTGCTGTCTAATAACGACCTCCTCAAGCACGTGCGCGTGGTGTTCGGCCCCAACTTGTGCGTGTCCACTTTCATCGTGATGTACTCGTGCTTCGTCTTGAACTTCTTGTACTACGGTTGCATGTATGCCTTCCCGCAGGTTCTCGCGAGAAGCGACGAGCCAGGTTCGAACGCTGCTCTCGAGCTCCTCATAGGCGCAGTGGCAGAAATCCCAGGGCAAATTCTCGGCTTCCTCTGCGGCTCGTATCTCACCCGCAAGCTCAGCATGAAGGTATACCTTGGCTTCACATCACTCTCGCTCATGTCATTCGCTTTCAGCCTGCTGCGCCCAGGGGGGTCCGCGAAGCTCTTCCAGCTGGCCGGCCTCTATGGCATCAAGTGCTTCGTGTCGATCGGCTTCCTGGTCGTCTACCAGTACGCAATCGAGATTTACCCGACGGAATCCAGAACAACGGGCGTTGCCATCACCATCGGAAGTGGCCGCCTCGCGGGTATCATCTCACCCCTCGTCATCGAGGCCATCGTGAGTGTGACTGGCGGCTTCTCCGCGTTTTTTTTCATCTTGGTCTGTGCTACCTCGTTGAATTTCTTGCTCGTTCCGCTACTGAAGTATGAGACATTCGGAATGGCGCTGAAGGATGACCATGATGACGATGAAGAAGACGAGGCCGACGCGGAGGCGGGCAAGGCTTCGCCGGCCAAAGAAGAGGAGACCGAGGTGGCACCGCTGCTCCATTCTAAGACCTCGAGGCAGCTCCAGTCTGGCCACCGCGCCAGCTGCAGCACGGTCTTCTTCGCCGAGCCGCTCAACCCACGCCTCTGAGCCCGAGCGCCTGAGTGCCTGGAACGTGAATGCCGCCTCCGAGTGTCGGACGCGACACGGGACTCCACGTCCTCAAACAATTGCGCAACGTGGGCATTCCAGTCGGCCCCGATCAGCAAGTGACCCTGCCAAATCAAGGGCACCCACGATTACGCAACGTGAGCACTATAGCTGGCCCTGGTTAGCAGGCCGACCCTGTCTGAGCAAGGGTACCCCTGTGTGCCCTGTGTCTTGCGACCCAAGCCTCCTGCACTCCTGTGGCAAGGCGGCACTCGGAAGGGTCCTGTGTCCTCCCGCGCGCCGTCCCTGCCAGAGCAAGGGTACCCCCGTGTGCCCTGTGCCTGGCGACTCACGCCTCCTGCACTCCTGCGGCAGGGCGGCACTCGGAAGGGTCTCGCGTCCTCTCGCGCGCCCTCCCTGCCAGAGCATGGGCACCCCCGTGTGCCCTGTGCCTGGCGACTCTCGCGCCCCCTGGCGTTCCCTGTGGGCCCCTCGGAGGGGACTCTGTGCCCTCTCTCGCGTTGTCCTGTCCAGTCACGTCCAGGCTGTGCCCTCCCCTCTTCCCCCCGGGGGTCCTGGCCGCGCGGGGCCTTTTTTGTGTTGTTTTCTTTCTTTATTTCTCTCTCTCTCTCTCTCTCTCTTTCTTTCTTTCTCTCTCTCTCTCTCTATTTCTCTCTCCCTCTCTCTCTCTCTCTCTTTTTTTTGTTCTCTCTCTCTCTCTCTCTCTTTCTTTCTTTCTTTCTTTCTCTCTCTCTCTATGTCTCTCTCCTGCACACAGAGGTGCAGCGTGCAGGCCTTCGTGAGTGCTGTGTCCACATGCTGTATTGGTGATCGGCTACAGGATGGGATGGCCCCGAGAGGGCCCCGGGATGGCCCAGGAATGGTCCCAGTGGCCCGATCATTGTCCCCAAGATGGCTCAAAAATGCTGCCACCGCTGAGGCGCTGGCATCATTTTAGCATCGGCGCTGTGCTCCCATCGTGCAGAGCGGCGCTCTGGTGCCCCAGCGCTCGCCGCAATTCTGGGTCCGAGGCTTTCCTCGTCGCTGTCGCCATGCTCCTTTCCCCTCCTCCGCCTTCCCAAGGTCATCCTGCTCCTCCCGCTCCTCCTACTGCTCCTGCTGCTGTTCCTCCTCGTCCTCCTCCTTCCTTCTCCTCCTCCGCCTTTTCCTCCTCATCCTCCTGCTCAACCGATATCTCCTCCTCCTCCTCCTCCCCTCCTCCTCCTCGTCCTCCTCCAATGCACACAGCTCCCCTATTCTGATCGCGCATGACAGGATGGGGTCCTTTGGTCCTGGGGACGCTTCAGGTCCGCTGTTACGCCCGTCGACGGAGAGAAGTTGAGTCAGCGCAGTGGGAAACTATGAGTGGGAGTGGTAGGATCTCAGATGTGGGCGAGCGCGCCGAACCAGTCCTCGCCCGTCTTCCTCGGCGGCGCAAAGCAAACAGACGACCCAATCTTCAACTCCTCCCCGCCGGGGCGCACGGGAGGGGCGCGTCGCGAGCGGCCTTCCACAAGACCAGGGGGCTGCCTGGAAGCCTCCTACCTTCTTGCGACGCCCTCTCGGAAGCCCCCTTTCTGAGCCCTCCTCAGAAGTCTTCTGCCCCTCCTCGAGGGCCATTCCCCCCCCTCGCCCCGCCCTTCCTAGTGCGCGCCGGCGAGGTTCTGACCTTCCTCCTCCTGCCTGTGCTCCCGCTCTTCCTGTCTTTCTGCCCGTCCTCCCCCACATCATTTTCAGCGGCAGGCGGCAGCGTGCTACGGCCACTGAACAAAACAGCTTGTTCGGGGTCCCTGGCTTCTGCGTCACCGGGGGGGGGGGGGGCGGTCGTCTTGCATCGAGCAGTGCGCTGACACGCGATACCGGCCACCAGACCAGTGCACGACTCCGGGCCGCTGCTCGCGACGCCAGAGTCGCTGAGGTGCCGACGCTGCGTGCCGTCTCTGCTTGTTGCGGCATGCGCACGTTGAGAGCTTTGTTTTGAGCTGTGCTTGTGCTTCGTTTTTGATTTGTTTGAGCTTTGGCTGAGCTTTGTTTGAGCTTGTTGTCAGCGAAGCGGACGAGGCTGCCCAGCGTAACATGGACAATTAGCCCGTCCGCGCTCTCTTCAGGTTCGAATTCCAGCAGGGGAGAGGGCCCCTTCCCCCCCCCTGTCCCAACCAGGCACGGGGGGGAATTCTCTCCCCTCGACCAGCGCCAAGAAGGAGAGCCAGGCCCAGACTTCCGACGCCGTGATATGTTTCGGAAACTGGAGCATATACATTACCAGAGGCGGGCGGTTTCTCAATCCCAGGACTTTTTTGAGGGTCGGGGACGACGTCGGGGTGGTGTGGTGTATACTTGTTTCCCCGTTTGCCTGGGGAAGCAACGAAGAATGTATACACCAGGATCCCGTATACACTAGGATCCGCTCTTCCGTGCGAGATTCCGTGTGAGGCTAGACAAACGCGTTGGTGTATAGAGTCCGATTCCCTAATGTTCGTGACGCGGGCCCCAGGAGCTCGCGCCCCGCCCCCAACTGGGGTGGTAATTTGGTGGGGGTCTCGAAGAGGAGGAGGAGGAGGAGGAGGACGAGGAGGAGGAGGAGGAGAAGGAGGAGGAAAAGGAGGGGGAGGAGGAGGAGGAGGAGGAGGGGAGGAGGAAGAGGAGGAGGAGGAGGAGGGAAAGGAGGGAGGAGGAGGAGGAGGAGGAGGAAGGAGGAGGAGGAGGAGGAGAGAGAGGAGGAGGAGGAGGAGGAGGAGGAGGAGGAGGAGGAGGAGGAGGGGAGGAGGAGGAGGAGGAAAGGAGGAGGAGGAGGAGGAGGAGGAGGAGGAGGGGATGGGGATGGGGATGGGGATGGGGATCGGTTGAACGATTCCGAATTTTGGGCCCCGGGGGGACCCTCGCGGACCGACGGGCGGCCCCCCCGGCAGCGGCCTCCCGCCGCGGGCCGACCTCTCGGTGGCCTCTGGGGGGGGGGGGGGGGGGAGGGGGCAGCAGCGGGCCCCCCCCGCCAAGGGGGCGCGGGCGCCCAGACGAGCGCGGCCGGTCGTGATTCTCTCGTGGTCGCGACGCGCGGAGGTCTTTGGGATCGGGAGGGAAAAAAACACACACAGACACAATGAATCGTCGATGCCCCCGGAAAATGTGGGAACATGTGGGAAGCGGGGGGGGGGACAGAAGCCCAGAACATGTGGGGAAATGATGGGGGATCCTGTGATCTGCGTGTATTTCTTTGTGTGTCCCGGGGCCCCTTCATGGGGCGCGTGCGCCGGCGAAGCGGGCGTCCCCGGTGGTTTGGGCGTCGCGTACTGGGGCGACGCCAAGTGGGGGGGGCAGCGAGGGTTGCAGCAAGGAGGCCGTCGAGGGCCCCCAGAGGGGCCCCCTGGGGCCCCCAAAGCCCGAAAAGCGCACCTTTCTCCCCCCCCCCTCCCCCCCCCACTCATCGCTCCCCTCTTCACTGACGCCAGAGGGGTGGGGGTGGGGGGGCACTGACGCAGCATCACTTTGTGCCCGCGGGGCCCGAGAATGGGCTGGAGTAGTCGCACCCAGACCCCGCGGGCGCCGAACGTTGCGGCACCCGGGGGGGCCCGGTGGAGGGGGCGGGAGCGGGCCCTGTGACGGTCGTTGCGCCTAGTTCAATGGTCCTCAGGCTTTAGGTGAATGGATTCTGCAATCTCAGCCTACTCTCTGTGATTCTGTCGAGAACTGAAAAAAAGGAGCCGAAACAAGAAACAAAAACAAAGGAAACAAAAACAACCATTCAAAACAACAACCTGCCATCAAACAAAACAAAAACAAACAAAAACACAGAAAAATACTAGGTTCGTAGCAGGACGTCTATTAGCCCAAGCTTGTGTGTTTGCCCCCGCTCGGGTCCGTCGATCGCGCGCAGCCTGTGTCGGCCCTCGTTGCGCCGCCCTGCGTCGTACTGAAGGGCCGCGGTGGACAAGCAGCACGCGCTGGCGCGACAGCCAGGGCGGTGAAGTGAGGAGCAGCTCGGCTTCGGAAGGGTCCCGTTGTTCCTTAATTCGGCCCTTCTGCGACTGCTTCTCTAGCGCTTCTCGTGCACCCAGGCGCGGTTGGGGCCGAGAAGGGGCTTCCTTCCTCATGTCGCGACCATGATGTGCAGTCGGGGCCCTGAAGAAGGAGCCCTTCTCGTTGGGGAGGGGCTCCGTGCTCCTTGACGGTTTCGCAGCTTGCCTCAGGTGTTCCTTAGGTTTTCGATGGGACATCGAACTTCAACTGATGGGAGAAAGGGGCCTCGCTCCTTATTTCGCGTTCCTTAGGTCAACGCCCCCACTGCACCCGTCCTGCGGCAGCACGCTCGTGGCCCCGCCAGACGCCCCGACCCGGCAGGAGCGGCGCGCACGCGAAGCTGAAGCTGTAG